CGATGCGGTATGATAGGTCAGGACAGAATATGGTGAGATCGGATGGGATAGGAGGAAGATGGCATCCCCAAGTGGTAAGCATCACATTTCTTTGACTCTAGACAAGCCGACTGGAACATTAATTCAGCAGAATTGGAAGCGGCTGGGGTTAGGTGGCTTGCTGCCTCCTAGAGAAAAAGTTTTTTACTAAACTACTAATATGGAATCAAAAACAGCAGACAAGAGCTTCAACAGATGACGATTCGCCATCCTACTTTGTGATGGCAATTACCCCGACAAATAAATAGTTCAGGAGTCATTTAATCTATTTCTTTTTCAGCACAAACTTATTTGGTTAACCTACACGAACTCTGTGAATGAGATATTACAGACCACTATGCTTGTCGCCTTCTGACAAGCAGGAGAGAGCACTGCCCAGTGACTAGCAATGTCCACAAAATGTCAATCATTATTTCAGTGCTAATTGACATAGAAATTAGTAATTAGAAGGAAGACACTGAGACTACATCTCCTTACTTTCTTATAAAACCTCACGATTTCACTCCGCGTTCACTAATTCCCCATCCACCTTTCAAATCAAGGCTTTAATGACTTGTCTCGTCTCCTTTTACTAATTACCTTGATGGGTAACTAGATGTGGGAGGTGGTTAGATTAGGTAGGCCAAACACAGCAAGCTTGTGTTTGATTGCGAGCGAATTCTCCACCTCAATTGGCGATAGTCCCTTCCCTAACAAATTCCTTTCAGAAATAATTCAAACACATTTTTTTTTCATAAAATCATTCAAATTTATTGAAAAGCCTGTCTATTTCCGCGATTTTAGCTTCTCTTGTAATATAAGGATAATTTTGCCCCTCTCCGCAAAACGCTCAAAGAATGAATCACAACTGCCTGCCTTGTCTTCCACATAGAATGAAAATGCAGGTATTTGCCGTCGGGGCATAATTTCCGTCTTGTTGTAAAGGACTCGGAAAATACCTTATTATAAATGTCACATTCTCCTGCCTTTTCATTGGCTCGTGATTTACTGGATGCTGGGAAGGAAATAAAGTCCCCTTTCCCCTCTCCTCCCAGCCCCTCTCTATGCCGAAAGGCTATACCCTACAAACAATACCCCTTGTATCAATATACACCCCAAAATAGGGTAAAATTTAATTATGTATTCAGCGGATTTTGGAAATTATTACTAAAGATAGCCAAAGTGGGCCATAAAACGGAACCTTAAAATACCGACAAGGAAGTAGGAGGAGGATATAAAAATTACATTATTTATGCGTTGATTGGGTTCCAAGAGGAATAAATCGGCAGAAATAAATCAGCTCGACTATCAAGAAGAATGAATTAATATGTAATGAGAAGAGGTTTGGCGATGCGCAACAAAACTTACAGTAATTTTGTAGTGGTAGAGGATCGTGACCATGAATGCGATTTTTCATAAGGTTCTCGGTTGATTGGACCCTGAACCGGTGGTTCATCATCTCTAAAATCATAAGGGAGAAATCATTTTTAGGGTGGAAATTAAAGAAACTCGCCTTTGTCTGATTGAAAAAGAAACTAGACGTTGAAATTTGGAAAACAAAACAAACACTTTATTACAATCCGCTATTGCCTTTAGGCTAACACATTCACTGCCTCTGACATACATGTGATACGCTAATTTCCTCATCTACGCCCAGCGTCACATATATGTGACATGGGCTCTTCTATCAATTCATGCTAAGCAATTTCACCGAATCTTGTCATAAACTGATGTATAATGACGCTTCTGACCTATGAATGATCGTAAATCAAATCAGTGACTTCAAAACATCTGCCGAATGCAAGAAAAAATTAACCAATCAACATGCGAAATGGTACGTTGACCTTTCCACTTTCCCTAAGAATCGACCTTAACATCGGGCTGTTAGTGTCTTCTAGTCGTCTAGCAAAATATCCATTATGTATGGCAATTGTGAAGCAGATTTGTGGAGCCATTTACTTTTTAATGCCCGCAGAAGTGACTCGGTGAGAAGTGGTTGACGTCTTGAAGGCGTCCAACGTCCCAGACACGCAACAAAAGCGGTGTCAAAATCCAATCAGTCTTTAGTGACCTTCGACATCTCGTCATGCATTGGGATAATTGGTAAAGGGGGGCAAGACAGGTTATTAGAGCCTCGATATGAAAGGTGGATAGGAAATTAGAGAACGTTAAGTGAAATCGTGAGACCAGATTTCCTTTCTTGTGCTATAAGAAAGCAAGAAGACGATGCCTAAAAATAGTACCTTTAATTATTAATTTCTAAGTCAACTAGTACCGAATTAGTAATTGACACTTCGTAGACATTGCTAATTGATGAGTAGAGCTTTCTCTCTTTGAAGTGTAGTTCCTATATTTCCCTTTCATTTCATTTTTGAAGTAAAGGCTACGTTTTGAGGCGCGAGATATGAGAACATGGGTTGCGGTGTATTGTAGGAAGAAGACACTCTTCCCATCGACGATTGACTATGCCTAGCTGTTCTGGCTTTCGACGTTGAAGAAGGGAGAAGGAGCGAAAGAGGATTTCCTTGCAAGCTTTCGTGTTCTAGAGTCCTGTAGTTGTAGCTTGGTGGTCTACCTATCCACATGGCAGTTGTGCATGCTAGGCGGCCTTCACCAAGTGAGCGGTAAACGGTGGGCAGGCAAATCTGTCCCCACCCGCACCCACACGCGCACACACCAACAGCCAGTCAGACAGGCACAGACGGGATAGTTTTCCACGAACGAGGTGTTGCGTGTCTTAGAGGTGTTGGATAGGATGGATGACATGCTCTGCGGTATAACAGTCATTACTTTTCACGAGTCATTCATTCAGTCACTCAGTCGGTCAGCCACCAACCAGCCAGGCGGGTAGTCAGTGGAGCATTTAGGCGGCAGACAATGTGAAGTGCGTGCAGGGAAGAAGTGAAGAGCACCAAATTGGTGGGTGCTAAATCTAATTGACAAATATTAATACATGGCATGCGGAGCATGTGGATTTGCTCAACTCCCATGACTCCTGTTTCGTAATCAATGTTGGCGTAAACCAATTGTTTTATCCCTCCTCTCCTTTCCGTCTCACTTTCCTTACACTCACGCCAGCCACTGATGAAAGTTTCCACACGTCATTCACCTACTATTTTAAGCAATGGTAACAGCTCTTTGCCATCTTCTTCTTCTTTAATTGATGCTAAATTCTAGTCAAAAGGTCGATGGTAAGATCCGCTCCTACGTACTGCACTTCCTCAAAATACTTCTGTATTCTGAAACACACCCATCCACAAGGCTCTTTCCGTTATGACAGGTTCCGCCCACATCCTGCTGTACTGGTTGCCTCTCGATTAACCCCCAATTCTCACTCACAGTTGATGGTAAGATGGATGCCACGGGAGAGGTACCCACCGAAAACACTCAGGACAAAATTACAAAGCGTTACACAGCTCCTTTGCATAACCTCGTAAATCAACCCTCACGTCGAATGCTTCGCATGCTACTGCACATCTAGTTGTTACAATACATTTATAGCAGTACTTGATCACTACACGTGAGATAATTTAAATGTCAGATGACACCTCCCATCCAAATTGTTCATTAGTGTTGCTGAGGCAACCACGCTACTGCAGCCTTAAATGCCAAAGCACACCCAATGAACACTTTTGTATCAAAAAATGGACAGCAAAGTGGCTGCTTATTTCCTCTTTTATAATAAGCTTGGGATAAATGACTTTGTCTTAGCGAATTATGCGGCCCTTTTGCCGCTTTGGTGGTACAAAAATTAGCGACATTTAAATGGAAGGCTTTTAAGCAGAGAGGTGTAAAGTGAATGTAAGTACATTCCACGTTTTTTGGAGGAAAATAAATGGAGAATAGAGCCAAGCTCGAAAGTTACTACCACCAAACGCCTTAGGTGCAAGTCTTGAGTGAGTGTGACAAGAAAGGTAAATAAAATGACAACATTGATAACAGTACTCCTTGGTTTGATGCTGTCCTCCAATTATTTGTGGAAAAAAGTGGGAAATTAGTAGGTAAAAGTAGGGATTAATTCAAGCAAATGATGAGCAGCGGAGCCACTAAGTGATGCTCCTTTAATCACCAAAACCAACATCCTGGGAAATACGGAAATAGGAACATGGGAAATGCACCTCACGCATTGCAGAGGATCTCCCAACTCAAACAAAAAAGAGGAGATTTTTTACTGGGGATCACCCTCTGCTTTGTTTGATTGGTCTCACATTTGCCGGTTGGTGTGAAATGTCAATTAATGCACTTTTCTCCCTAAATCAGTTACTACCGTGGATGACTTTACCTCCGCCTTCCACCTCCGATGGAGGTGGACAAAACGAGGACGGATTTCTGCCTCCGTAATTGAGTCTGTTATTTGGAAAGCAAACTTTTCTGACGCGATAAAACTTTGATTTAAGGAAGGAGGAAGAGAAAAGGGCTGATGTAACCCCATTAACCCCTGATAGATGTAGACCTCAAATCCTTTTGTTTGTTCCTTCCAGAGGTCAGCTCTTCCATCAATGTCCCAGCAGATTCGCCATCAACAGAGGGATAGGAAAAGGATAAACAGAAACGCAAAGCGGGGAGCGCTCTCAAATCACTTTTGTCTGAAAGATCTCCTTATAACTCGTATTTACCAAAGATATTGTCTTGTTTTGATAAGTTCCTTTAAGCTTTTCAGAATGATGTCAGGAAGCTGAAAGTATAGCTATTTTTACAGAATCACCAAGAAAAAAAGTGACTTTCAATCACGTTTTGAAATGCTTTGAAAGGAAAGGCCGGGTAAATTATGGAAACAAGAAAAGAGGTTTGTTTTTTGACGTACTGTAGTAGAGTGGCATTTGTTTTTGTCGATAGCATTAAATGGTAATTTTTTATTGTCCTCAAGTCAGCCTTCATGATGGTAGCGACTGCTACAATCTGAATGGAATGACGAGCAAGGTACTCAAGATGCTGTAGGAATGAGACTTCGAGAAGCCACTTTTGCTTCAGAAAAGTGCACTGGCTGTAGCTTATGGCTCAACAACAAGCAATGCTACTGAAATGCATCTATTCAGTAGAGATTATCAGCTAGCAGGATGACAGATACAATATAGTGATTTTTGCTAATTATCTCATTACCATTGACTTTAGAATTTCCGTTCTTGTGCTGAAAAAGAATCGAGTAATTTTTTCGGTTGAGTTCGCACAAGCTCTAGACAAGACGAGAATGGTGACTGTGGATATCAATGCGTGGATATTTATGATCACGTGCAAATTTACCTCCCCAGGGGTGAGACAAAGCTCTACCTTTCACCTCTCTTCTGTTAACTCACAGTTCGTCGAAGGCTTGAGTAAACCAAACAGGAATTCGATGGTAGAGGAAAAAACAAACCCACCCAGCACGACGATAGACATCCAAATAATCCCGAAATTGAATGATTTTCGACTCCAACTGCATGCATTCAAGAAGAATTTGACGCAATTCATCACAAGTGAAGCAAGGCGACGACGCAACCGTCAACAGTCCGCCAGGAGTGTCACTTTTGGCAACCAATTTGTCATCCGTGTTCAACAACTTCATAAAATCACTCTGCTTGATCTCATCCTCCTGTCAGAAACAAAATAAAAACGCCTTACTTTATTTCGTAGTACACATTTTAGGGATTAGATGGCAAAAAAAGACTAAGAAAAAGGGTTTTCGTTGAGAAATCGAATTGGCTCTTGAGACAAATCTTCGAAAAGGCTTTTACTTTGGAGAAATAATACTAGAATATGAGAACAAGTTATTAAGACTTCTATTTAGAAAACTCATCTGACGTTAAGAGAAGACCAACTATTGCCATATACCATAGGAATGAAAGGATTCTTTTCACCATAATAATTTATGCTGATCAAACGATTTCTTAAAATATGGCACAAATTATTTAGTTTACAGTTAATCAAATTGGAGCCACCGCACATTAAAACACCTCGAAAAGTGGTTCGTTGCCTATTGTAGAAGTGCTGCGGCTAATGTTGTCCAACTAGTGTTTAGTAAAATCGTTAGTGAAAAAACCCAGCGAGGACTTGAGATTCTTCCAAGATTAAGGCAAAGACAATGGCGGACTGATTTTGGCGTTAATTATGCATTATCGTTGGAAGTGTTTGAAGACCACCGCACAAACAACAAAAGCCGCTGTTTTGCCGACACGCAATGTTTAAACAGCGGCAGCGAACGGCGAAAAAGAGACACGCGATTTCTACTACAGAAAGCTCCGACTTGTTGGCAATACAAAGTAAAATGCCAACGCTTGTTTTACAAATATGAGAAGCTTGAGCTATCCAGCCAGATTGGTAGCAGCCATAAATAAAGATTTTCACCCTGTAAACGGAACTAAATGATGGACAATTAAAAGGCCGAACCACTTTTCCGAAACTCAAGCCCCCTTTTAAATGGCGTTTTTTCCGTGAAATTAAGTAATCTAAAAACGTTACTAATGAAAAAAAATGGACCACCTGGGAAGAGCCCCCACGCCCGAGAAAACTATATGTTTGAAATTACCTGGCCAAAGGAAAAAAAGAATTCACGCCTAGAGCACATATTGACCGGCTACCCTAATGGGTGAAATGCTATAACTCATTAAAGTAGAAGGTAAAAAACTGCCGGTTCAAAATGTTATATTTAAAGGTCACATCGGTCTAAGAAGTAGATTTGATTTACAAAAACAAAAGTCGGATTTGAGTTAAAATAAGCCGCACCCTACTACATGTAGTGAAAAAAAGCGGGAATTCGAAGCAGTAGAGCAAGTGATCTAATTTCTCAGCTAAATACTTGTCTTTTCGTAAAAAGATAAACCCAATCTACTTCACACTCGATGCGCAAACATGAATGTGGCTACAGGCCAAACGAGTTGAATCGATGCTCCAATCCTATTGGCCGAAGATAACCTGGACTCAACGAAGAGGTGGGCGTTTGAAAACGGTTTGCAAATATTTGCTAATCCGGTTACCAAACATTATTCGCTAGCTGACTATTGGAACGTCCTGAATAATTTAAGGGATTTTATGGTTATATGATGTATATTGACGAATTAAAGTCCGCTTCAGGCACTTGCCTAATGACAACGAAAAAGGAGAATACAACGCAACAGCATTACCATGAAATATTCAAGTTTTTATCTTTTATGCGTGTTCCGCCCGTCTAATAGCTAACGTGTCTCGGGTTTTTATGCCGTTTTTCCGCACACGCACACACACATGGAATAAGCCGACAAATAACACCCGCGACCGCAATCTCCCAACTACGTCTACTGCACGCCATGCCATTTCGCCCCAAAATTAGCGTCCAATTTGATAATACACGCCATTAATAAACGGTTTATAGTTATGGCCACAAATTACGACATGAGTTGTTACCCGAACAACCTAAATTGAAACGCTTGTAAAGGTAATCATTATTACAATTTTGTGTAAAATCTCCACAAGTCAAACACCTGAAAATTACATTCCTATTCTCTTTTAAATGGCTAAACGTTTCTTTGTTTCAAGCAAGCCCTGACGAAAAAAATATATTGGCGCAAATCACATTACTCAAGAGTAATTACTGAAATAGGCATACTAAATCACTTCTAAAACATTTGGTATTGTTTTGAAACCTCAAGTTCTAAAATAGGGTTTACAAAAACTGCTTTTGGAGCAAAAAGAAGGGAAAAAGCCGATGAAGTATACGATAAGGCGGCACTTCCCAAGAATACGAAGGAAGGGGAATTTAACGCACCATAAAGAATAGCGTAGTAAGAGATCTCATCACACGCGACCACCCATACATTCCCCGCCCCATCTGTTTCGCTTAAGAAATTCAAAGTCAATTAACCAAGTGGCGAGGAAAGCTTTAAAATGTAAACCCGTTCTTCGTTTTTAATTTGCGAATAAGGTAAATGAATTACAGAATCGAGGCCAGAATAATCAATATAATGAGAAGATTAGTCGACAAGAACTCACAGTATGAGGCGAAATAGCACTGAGTTCGCGACGCATTGACGTTGTCATCAAGGTATTGTCCTCTTGACAGATGGCGGATGAGGGGCCAATATGCCGTCTAATTTCCTCAATGAGGACTCGCTTAGCACGGAGGCGCGTTTCCAGTCCTTTAATCTCACCAGCAAGAAAAGCCACCACCCCATTAGTTAAATCAGCATCTGTCGAGGTTCCATCGGAAGGAAGCAGTCGAAGCCGTGTTCCCTTGGCACTCAGGTGAGCCATGCGTTCGGCCTGAAGCTTCATCTAAATAAAGCAAAACATTTCTACTGATATGTTTTCAATAACGTCACTATCATCAACAAAAACCGCACTGACGGCGTCGAGGTCGATCGTCCTCTGGGCGAGAATCCGTCGTTGCGAGCGCAATTCCACCTTTTGAGCATCAATAACATCTTTGAGACGTCGGAGAAGGCTCACCTCCTCATTATGTTGGGATGCTAAGTTATTTACAAAATCGGATAGCAAAATACAATCACAGAATTCAACTGTAGGAAATCTACATATGTACCCACCTGAGGGAGTGAGAGTTGACCGATACTGTTTGACGTGTTTGGAAGATTCAAGCATTTCCGTGAGTTGTGTATTTTCTTCAACAAGTTTTTCAATTATTTTCTGCAATTCCGATGTCTCAGCACGCCAGTTTTCCTCGATTTTCAAAGTATCCTAAGGGTGAAATAAAAAATTTTTCTTTTGTACCAAAAGACATAGTCTTCAATGAAAACAAAATTTTGTCCTTCATTTTTTGCTGCATAAATAAAATAAAATAATACATATAGGAATTAATAATGCTAGGAAGTACAGAAAAGGGTTAAAAATCATGCGATTTTTTAGGCGGAACCAAGCAACTTATAACGAAACTGAGGGATGGGTACCAAAGCTTAAGTGCCAGAGAAGACATGTCCTGCGGATGGCTGGAGCTACACAGTCCCTCCAGGGGCAGGGGTGCCCAAAACCATCTCTACTTTCGGCCAATCCCATGATCTGTTCAAAGACTACAAAGGCCATTGGCCACCGATGACCTTCAAGACAGTCCAATCAGGTGTTAAGGCCCTTTTTTTCCTAGCACGTCATTTTGGACGCTTTTTTTGAAGGATCTGGGAGCTTTTTTCGTACTGCTATAAAAAATATGCGAGGCTTGTCAAGGCTTCTACTTATCATAAACACTACATCCTAGTACTTCAGTGAGGAAGTTGGATAGGCCTACCCCCAAGAATTCCTCGTTGCTTAGCGCTGAAGGGAAAAAAACCAAATCACAAGGCGCTACAATCAGTTAATGTACAAAACTTAACTGTAGGAAATAGAAATTGGCCTGCTCAGCGGAATCTGCTCAGTCGTGTAGCGGCTTGGTCTTCATGGCGGAACTCGTCCCCAAATTCTTTTATGCGTAAGTGATTAAATAATTTCATGTTTTTCCTGCGGAGTAAGTCAACCAATGCGCCGGATCTAACAGCGACATTGTTGACAAGTCGGAATAAGCTGGGAGCGAGGGGGGTGTGGATATGCATCTGCTGGCCGGCTAGAGGAGTCGCGGTGTGGTCGAAGTAGGCCAATCAGTTGGAAATGAAGAGGATGGGGAGTTTCAAGACATTTTAGAGTAGTCAAAAGTTGTTTTTTGGAGAAAAAAAAATGTTTAGAGTACTAAAGTCGACATCGGTTGTGTTAAAAGACGATGTCGATTTTGCAGAAAGGGAGCCACAAAAGAAGGAGTGCCAGAGCCACTTCAAATCTTGGTGCGTACTCTAATCCCAGGTGCTAGAGGAAGAAGAGTGTTAAACGAACTTGAACCGGCCACAAAGGAACAACCTACAGTCTCATGATTACGCTCCCCATTTTGCAAGTTACTGAGAGCAATCGGCATAATGCCCCCGCAAATCTGACGTGGTCGGTGGATATGTTGAGGCCCATAGGGTATACTAGGACATAGGCACCTGGTGCAGAAAAAAAAATCACAAGAAGAAATAAGGGCAGTTCTCACAACGCCGCGAAAGTTGGGCATCAAGGCAGCAATTTTCAGAATATATTTATCCGTAATTCGGGGACAATTTGGACATCACAATGATTGCAACATTGGGAAACACACTTCAAGAGTAACCAATCTGACCGGTATGGATAACTGTATCTACAGCGAATAGGGGCTGAAGGTCCATTGAACAAGGATTAACTACTAATGAAGACCCTATTCTCACTCTCCACATACTGATAAGTAAAAGCGTGGGGCAAGAATTAATTTGTTTCAAACGAAATGACACAGAGTACTACCCCAGAATCGATGATGAGGCTATTTCCGGAGTTGTAAACTATGTATACATATGTATTCGCCGAAAATAATCCGATCACATGACCTAACCTGTTCGTCCTTGAGGCGCTGTTGAGTGCGGGCGACCTTGTCCGCCTCCAGTCGTTCTACTGCCGCTTGCAGTGTTGTCATCTCTGCTAATTGGCTATCACGACGAGCTGCCTGTTCTTCCAATTCTTCTAAAACATGGATGACTTTTGACATGAGTCCGCACACTGTCTCGCCTCCATGGCGATCTATGATAGCCTCGAATTCCTTCCCAATCGCTGCAGCCATTTCGTAGACCTCGGCAACAGTAACAAAAACACCTTTGCGACTTTCACCACCACCGTCATCATCACCACCATCCCATGTCTCCACCTCCCCTATCGTTGCAGGAGATTCACCTCTCTCCACAATCCCTCGGCTGTCTCTGGGGTGCGTATGTTTCCACTCCGAAGACGCCAGCATGCGATGTGGAACTGTAGCAAGAAGACCACAAAGTGTGATACCTACCTGAGGCATATCGTGTAGGAGCATTCAGATGTTGATTGGAGTTTGATCTTACCCAGCTTTTGTTGAAGAGCAATACTATACGGCCTTATAAAACGAAGAAACCTGTCGAAGATGATTTATTTTGCAAAAGACTAACAAAAAAGGGACCACCAAAAGCACAATGGCCTTTGATGCCTAAAAGCTGATTTGTAATGGAGCAGCAAAATAAAAATAACGACTGATGTATGATAATGTTCGACTAGAACCAACAACGTCAATGATATCATCAGGTGTGTAAAATTTGTAGAATTCGGTCCACTCTCTTATCAGCGTTAAATGTTTATAAGCAGTAGGCTAATATAATCGATTACTTTTTCTAAGGCGATGGTAAACAAATTCGTGTATCAAACCAAACTTGAAGTGTCTCTGCATTTCTAGCCACCGGAATGGCCAAATCTAACGTTCTCTGTACGTCTTAGGACTCTCAAATCTAAAATCATATTTGCCAGGGGGCTATGGGGACTTGTTCATTAGTCGAGATTAGTTTTTTTACATTTCATTCTAGCGCCAGTGCAAATCTGTCGAGAATAGGAGGACAGCAGTACTTACAGATAAAGGTAGGCTTTCAGACTCAACAATGATACGTCATTAAAAGGAGAATAACATTTAAGGTTGAAAAAGGGTGAAAAAAATTCAATCGTTTAGAAGAAAAAAGGAATACAGCAGGGAAATTATCGACTTCTGTAAAATACTTCAGCAGGAAGTCATATTCGGACTTATTTAAACGGGATTGAATATAATGGCTCCGGTATCTGGGAAAAATGAAGTGCCTAATTATATAAACAGCCCGGTACAGCTAGGTAAGGTAGCAAAACAAGTCGGACTTAAAAATGCCTACTCAAGAGAAGTTTACCCACCAACTACATCTTTCATCAAGTTTTTTTTAACATCAAATTATTTGCTACTATCAAAACCTGTCATCTATTCATCGAAGTTGAACATTATAAAAGCAATTAAGTAAGTATTTGGATACAAGTTAGCGAAATGAAAGTAAGCAGCCTCATATTCCCAGAGCGCGGGGTACTGGGAGAGGGAGGAGCCTAGTTTACAGTGAAATCAAGTTACACGAACAAAAAGAAGTAGTGATTTAAATTATCAACAAAGGATGTTCTTCCGTGGATATAGACAGCATGATCCCAATGCAATCTTTAGGAAATGTCGAAGTCGGCTCACACACCAAAAATTGTGATCTTGCAAAAACCTATTACTGAGAAGAGGCATTTCCTATAAAAGCAAGCCCTAATTTTAAAGAAAAAAAAACCAGAATTACCACTCGTTTTAATCAGAAAACAACACATTTATAACCTCGAAGATATTTAAAATGATCTTCGTATGAACAGCAAAGCATATTACGAGGCTTGAACCAATTTTCAAAACTTGAGAAGGAGCATCAGTGCTTAAGAGAAAGGGAATTCGAAAAAAAGTGCATGGAATTTTTAATAAGGGACTAAACTAACTAAGAGTCAGTCAAAGGATGGAAACCTATTGAAGAGAAAACCCACCAAACATTGTTAGCAAAACGACAATAAAGCAATAATACCGCTTTAAACGCTTTGAAGGCGTAAAAGTTGGATATTTTGCATGCAGGCAAAGTCTGAATAGATATCTAAGTACTCTGAAAAAAGGGTACAGTTATGTAGTCAATGAGGTCAAATACATTTCGCCTCACAGCCATGTAGCTGGATAATAAAACTAAGATATACATACAGAAGGCACGAAGAGACTAATTTAAGAGACCGTGGCAGCACAACAAACCCTGCACAGCCCTATGCGACTTACAAGATGAACCGCCAAATGCCCGTCCTCCACAGGACCTAAAGAATTTGCGCAGTCAAATTAGTGAAATGCAGTGACTGAATCACTTACTAGACCCACGTTTTAATGTTTGGGTGAAAAGCCTGGTAAAATTTGGAATTCAGAAGCTCCGTGAAGTCCTTAAAATCATAAAACCTTTCCAGAAGAGAACCTAGAATTTACTCGAATTCCTGCATACTACGTAATCACGAACAAAAATGCATCAGCATATCTTTTATAAACATTTTATGCGTACCTTTATTTTACTCAACACACAGTCAGGAATACATATTTTGCCGACCAAAATGTGTGCTTTTTGGTCAATTATGGGAATCGGAAAGAAATTTGGTGTTTCAAAATACAATACTTAATTAGC